AACATATGTGAATATTTAATAATATAATATCGGTTAATATCGAAAATTCAAATTTGTTTAAAAAAAAAAAAAAAAATGGAAAATTTCACGCTTTAAATGTAAATAATTTTAGTTGTTGTGATTTTTTTTCTATTCGTTACGGTTAATAAAATTAATTTATTTGAAAATTTATTTTTTGTATTTTACGAATGGACACAAAGTTAATCAAGTGCAAATTATTTAAATAAAAAATAATAATAATAAATAATAAGATGATGATGAACTACGTCGATGACGACAACACAACAACAACAACAACAACAGAATGAAACAAAAAAAAAAAACTTTTTAAAAAAAAAAATTTATTTAATTTATTGTTGTTTGTTCGAATGGATTTTTTTTAAAATAAAAATTATTATTATTCAATATATATAAAGAAGACGTCTACCTTAAAAATTGATGACTACACCGTAAGCAGGATATGATGTAAAAAAAAAAAAAAAAAAAAAGCTCAATGCTCTTCACATTGTTGTAAGCATGAAATGCACGAATGTGAAACAAATTAAATTTTTTATTTTATTTTATTATATTTAATTTTTAAAAGTTATTAAATGAATTGTACGATACATCATCATCGACAACGATAATAATAATACGTTTCAATTGGTTTTCTCGTTAAATTTTAATTATTACAAAAAAAAAGTCTAATTTTATATACACGTAATTTTAAATCTCTTCACGTTTTCAATGTTATGAATTAAATTTAATATAAATAAACTTTTTTTTATTTTTTTTTATCGGCCCACGTTTTTATTTGTTGATTCTTATTGTAATTCTTTTACAAAAAAAAAAATATAAAAATTTTAAATTTTCAAGTTTTCAATTAAAAATCAAAGGTATTGTACCTACATTCAAATAAATGTTAGGATTATTATCGATTTGTGTTTTGAAAATGCCAATCGTCATTATTATTATTATTACGTATTGTGATTTTTTTTTTTTTTTTTTGAATTTTATTCACCTAATCTTTGCGATAATTAAATAAAAAAAAAATTGTGTTCGAAAATTATTTATTTGAAATGATTATAAAGGTTTATTTGTTTGTTTGTTTGTTTCATGTTCAAACTATCACCCTTAATAAACACGAATGTGAGGGACGGTTTTTTTTACATGTAATTAAATTCTCTCTTTATTTTTTCGACCACCTTCGTATAATTTTTTGTGAAAATTTTCAAAGAGGGATCGATTTACCAAAATTTCGTATCGCCATATTATTATTTATTTGTTTAATGGTGGGCATTGGAAAAAGAAAAACAAATTTTTTTTTATTGAGTAATTAAACGGTAACAGGGGGGGATCGATAAGTTTTATTTATTTTTTTTTAAATAGAATTTTTAATTTTCCTTCATGCAAAATTTTTCTTTTTTAAAAAGAAGAAAAAAAACAAGAAAAACAATAATAAAAACGTTGACTCAAAATGACTCAGAATAATTTCGGTTGATTAATCCATTGAAATTATAATAATTTTGGCACAAATGATGGTAAAACAACCGTCAGAAGGATGTGTGTCGACGTATATATTATTTAAGTTGTCAAAAAAAAACGTGTTTTTATCATTATTATTATTAATTGTTTCAGGTATTGAACGTCAAATTTTTGGTTCGTTAAATAAAATAATAAAAAAAAAAGGGACGATGAGTCTTAGTTTTAGCACAATGAAAAAATTATTTCCGGCCAAAAAGAGAGTTACGACTGATGGACCCTCAGAAATTGGTTTACCGGTAAATGTTAATCACATTTACCACGTTACAAGAAACGAAGAAACCGGTCAATTGGAGGGATTACCGGTTACATGGCTCAAGCAACTTAACACACAACTTTCGTACGTGTTTCGTATTTTTCGAAATAAAAATTTAAAAAATTACAATGGTGTTTGTTGTTTGAGTGTTTGTTTGACATTTTTTTTTTTTTTTTTGTTTTACTTTTAGAAAGGCCGAACAGAACGCGAATCCCGATGCGGCCATACAAGCTGTCAAGTATTATAATTATAGTTTGATAAAAAAAAATTTCGATCCTTTTAAACCTCTCGTCACGGAAAAAGCGATAGCAGAAGAATCGAAAGAAATCGAAAACATATTGGGTAAGAATATAAAGCCTCGTGTTTTGCAAAAAAAAACAAAAAAAAAGGCTCTCTCTCTCTCTCTTAAGGAAAATAGCAAAGTTAGAGAATTTTCATTAATAAAACATATTGGCAAGATTGAAATTGGTGTGAGTAACATTGCATTAAATTAATTGAGATGAATAATAATCGTATTAAGATCTGGCCAATGAAAAAAAAATTTTTTTTTTTTTTTGAAGAGTCAAAAATATGAATTGTGTTAGGCACATACACATACACACACACACACACACACACACACACACACACACACACACACACACACACACACACACACACACACACACACGCACGCACACACACACGCACACACACATTCCGGTTTTATTTAAATTGATTTTCAAGGTATTTTGACGCGGTTCGAATTTAATTAAAAAAAATTTTTTTTTTTTATTTTTTACCAAGAAAGCGAACCGAGTGAAAATGGAATCGTTTGTTTGTTTTTTTATTTAATTTATTTTTGGTTATTTTAGGGGCTAAAAAAATAAAAAATTACACGAGTGGTAGTTCGGATACTAGCGAGTCCACGAGCGAGGACACTCCTACGGGAACTCCTACTAGAATACAATTAAAAAATTTAACGGATTCTGCATCGCCGTCTCCGTGTTTGACTCCGCGAAACGATGCAGATTTTCACGCTCATAAAATCCTTCCGTCTCCCGTCAAAGGGCAAAATCAGGTACACGTACGTATGAATATGTTACGAAAGGATTTCCCTCGAGCCTTTAATAATTTAATTTTTTAAAAATTTCGCATATGGCAGGGGAAAAAAAAAAATTGCGATGGAGTTTTTAATGAAGTTTTTTCCCTTTCATTTCTCTCGAATAGGAAAAAGGCACCGATGATGAAAGTCAAAGAAATTAATTTTTGGTTTGAACAAAAAAAAAAAAAATGCACCCTGGAAAGTTATATTGCCGTTCAATACATTTTTACAGCTTTTTGTCACCCGAGTTGTCAATTATTATTATTATCATTATTTAAAGCGTGCAAAAAAGAGAAAAAAAAATTTTTATTTTTCCTCGTAAAAATTTTCTTTCACTTTCTGTTAATTGTTTTTTTGTTGTTGTCGTTTTTATAATAATACTTATTCGTTTTGTTCCCTTAAGATTTATCACAATGTAAATCAAGAGCTAGCTGAAAAATTAAAAGAATTGGCTGCGATAAGAAAAGCGGAAATAGAAGAAAATGAAAAAAATGACAAAAATGTCGATAATTCGACAGAGTCCGGGAGTCCCATACTAAGAACGAAGAAAGAAGTGCATAATAAAAGGCATAGAAACGATGCAGAAGTCCTAGAAGAACTTAGAAAAATCGTACATCCCGGTGATCCCTCGAAAAGGTTCGAAAGAAAACAAGAATTGGGAGCCGGGTTAGTTTTTAAAACATTATTATTATTAATTTTTTGAATCACGTGATTCGGTAAAAAAAAAAAAATTTTTTTTTAATTTTAGGGTTTCGGGCACCGTTTTCACTGCTGTCGATCATTTGAAAAAGACAAAAGTTGCAGTCAAAGACATTGATCTCTCGAAGCAACCGAGGAAGGAAAATATATTGAACGAAATTAAAATTCTCAAAGATTTCCGACATAAAAATTTAGTTAATTTTTTAGATTCTTACCTTTACGGTGATCATTTATGGGTAAGCCGCCATTTTCATTTTATTTTTTTTTTTTTTTTAGTTTGATTGTAATTTTTTCTATTTGAACTCTATATATAGGTTGTTATGGAATTATTAGACGGCGGACCTTTGACTGACGTAGTAACGGAAACGATAATGAAAAATGGTCAAATTGCTGCCGTGTGCAAAGAAGTATTGAAAGCAATTAGTTTTTTGCATTCAAAGGTAATTATTATTATTATTATTAATATAAATTTACACTTTCTTATGATAATGATTTGTTTTTTTTTTTTTTTTTTTTTCTTAATATCCGTTAGGGTATTATTCATAGAGATATAAAATCCGACAACGTTCTCTTAGGTATGGATGGATCCGTTAAAGTAACAGATTTCGGATTCTGTGCCAACATTGTAGAAGATGAAAAACGACAAACGATGGTGGGTACGCCATATTGGATGGCTCCCGAGGTAAATTTTTTTTTATATATAAACCGTAGCAAAAGCGTCAAAAATTTTTTTCTCTTCTTCAAATGTTTAAAGTCATTTAAATTATTTTTTTATAGGTAGTCACGAGGAAGCACTATGGTAAAAAAGTAGATATATGGTCTCTGGGTATAATGGCGATAGAAATGTTGGATGGTGAACCGCCATATTTGAAAGAAACTCATCTTCGAGCTTTGTACCTAATTGCTGCCAACGGTCGGCCGGTCATAAATAAATGGAGTACTTTACCAACTGATTTTCAGGTTAATTTTGTATTTATTTATTTTTTTTTCTCTCCTCTCTTCTCCGTAAGGCAATTAATTAATTAAAAATTTCATTTCAGTCATTTTTAGATCAATGTTTGCAAGTTGATGTGGACAAGAGAGCAACAGCAGACGAATTACTACAGCATCCATTTTTAGAAAATCCAATGGAACTAAGAACTTTAACGCCTTTAATTCGAGCCGCTCAAAGAATATTACGTAAAGATATAGATTGGCAACTTTCGTAAATATTTAGTTGATTAGTTTGAAAAAAACGAATTCATTTCTGTTTTTTTTTTTCGAATTTAATTTAAATTAAATTCTAATAATTTGTTAATTAGAAAAGTATTTTATATACCCATCGATCATCATACGCTCTAATATCGATTCATTGATCGATCGATACAATTAAATCAATCGAATTATATTTTATTTTATTTTATAAAAATTTATTTATTTTAGATGAAAGTGCGTCATTTTTCTCTTTAGTTTTTTATACGAAAGATTTTTTGTTTTTAATTTTAGATTTTGCTCATATTCACTTGTTTTGTTTCGTAGCAAAAAAAATTTTTTTAAATTCGGACATTGTACGATTACGGATTGTTTTATGTTTTTTTTTTATTTTTATTTTTTTTAATTTTGACAAATCTCATCGATGTTGTTGAGATTATTATTGTTACAATAACTCTAATTTTTTATTTTTAAAATGAAAATAATATTATTATTATTATTGTTGTTGTTATCCGATAAATTTTTTTTTTTTTTGAAAATGAATTTCAAATTTTTTTAAATTGTTGTTATTATTATTATTTTCAATCTGTCACAATAAGTAAAAAAATTTAAAGAAACGTTCAATCCAATCGATATTGTTTAAAAAAAAAAAAAAAAAAAGTGAATGAAACGAAGAATGATTGATTGATTGTTGAAAAACTTGGAAAAACGGAAATTCGACCTTAACTTTTTTTTTTTTTTTTTATTAAAACAAATAAAAAATTGTTGAATTTGCTTCTAGTCATTAAAAGAAAAAAAAAAAATTAATTTCTTTGCTATAGATAAAAAATAAATACAGAAAAAAAATTAAAATAATGAAAAAAAAGGAAAAAAAAACAAATTATTATTATTATTATTATTGTAATTTTTTGTTAAATTGCGACATTTTGTAATTTCGCCGCGTTCGTTTTGGCATAAATTAAATTATTATTTAAGCTCAATAAAAAAATGTGTAAATGTATTAATATTATTGTTATTATTTCATTATAACTCGGCCATATCAAAAATAATTGTTTAATGTTTTTATTATTATTATTATTATATATATAAATAATTATTTTAAAAAAAAGAAAAGTTTTAATTGTACGCCGCGTAATAATATTTTTCATTTAAAAAGAGAAAAGGAAAAAGGAAAATGTAAATATATATACACATAAAATAGCATAATTATGTGCCATTAGATGATGATAAAAAGGTTTTAGTATTACTTTAATACCTTTTCCTGCTATGATGTAATACATATTTAATCCTTTTTATTTGGACAAAGATTAACCGTCATCATCATCGTGTCATTAAAAAAAAAAAAAAAAAATTTTTTTTTATTTTTTACCGGACGGTTGCTTTTATTAAAATATTTTTATATATTATTTAAACACGAAAAATTATCATTATTATTATTATCGTTGGATTGTTTTTTTTTTAAGGGTCATTGACGTCTACGAAAAAAAAATTTGTTTTTGCTTAAGCAGCTAAAATTTTATGTGAAAAAAAAAAATTAAATTAAATAAATTATGTTATCGATTAATTATTAAAATTAGTATTATTATTATTATTATTATTATTATTAAATAAAGTCATCAGGGTGTATATATGTGTGTGTGTGTGCGTGCGTGTGTTGAGTAAAAAAAAAGATTTTTATGTTTATTTTGTCTGTTTCTCTTTTACAATTGATCAATTGTGTGCTTATATTTAGGTATATGATTTTATTATTATTATTATTATTATTATTTATTTATTTAAATTTGGTTAAAATAAATAAATAAATAAATTGCAAATGGATTAAAATAAATAAAAGTTACCTAACATATAAATTATTTATAAAAGTTATGAAGAGGTAATTTTTTTTAAAATTAGATTTTTGGTATTTTTTATAATAATAATAATAATAATAATAATAATAATAATAATAGTAATTTAAATTATGTATATTTATGTTTATTAAAGTTTAAGAAAAAAAAAAATATTTGCTGTGTGTTGTTGCAAGACTGACTGATTGATATCCTTAAAAAAATTTCTATAAAATTGATGATGACACATTAACCGCAGCAAATTTTCTTTTCTTTTGCTGTAACTTTTATTATTTAATAAGAGAAAAAAGGAGTAAATAATGATTTTTTATGTGTTATGTAAGTGCGCGTGAATTTTTTATTATTAACGAGAGTTTCTGGTAATATAAAATATGTACGCACTTTTTTTTTGTTTAAATTTTTCATGTAAATGTATCGAATATTACATCATTTATTGTAATATTTCAGTTTTCCCTTCCCTTTCCACTCCCCTTTCTCCTCCTCTTTCCCCTCCTTAATTTTAATTATTATTATTATTATTATTTTCTGTATTTAAATTTTGTACAATTTTTATAAAAGACAGTATTTTTTTTTTTTTTTTTTAAAAAGAATCAGAAATTTAAATAAATAATTAAAAAGTGTCCCAGATTTGTGTGCAGCATCAGGAGGAGGAGGAGGAGTAGGAGGAGCAACAACAACAACAACAGCAATAAACACGTTTAAATAAAATTTAGGCGAATTTTTATTGTTATTATTATTTTATATAAAATACATTTTAAATGTTATTGTTGTTAAGAAAAAAAATATTTTCTTTGTAATAATTTAATGGTTTTTTTTGTTTGTTTGTTTTAGAAAAAGAAAAACGAAACAACAACAACAACAACAACAGCAAACAAACAAAAAGAAAAGTTTTAATAAAAAAAATTTCAATTGGATTTTTTTTTTGTAAACGCGCCTACTCCTACATTTGAAATCACATGCAAGTCTCAAGGTCGGTTATGTGATAATAATAATAAACGAATCAAAAACTAGTTCCTCGGTTGAAAATCAGGTTTTTTCATCGTTTTTTTTTCCTTTTCTCATCTTTTCAGTTGACGAGTTAACTTGTTATTGAATATATATTTAATAGAAATTAATTAATTTAAACATGTCTTTCGTTCCGTACGATGAAAATTGTGATTTTCCGTTGGAAAATTTACCCTATGGAATTTTTTCAACTAATGAAGATGTAAGTAAAACATTTTTTATTGCATTTATTTTTTAAATTTCGCGCATGCGCATATTCAAATCTGTTATCTTTAAATTTCCGTTGATATACATATATATTGATCGTCGAAAAAATTGAATTATTTGATTAATTGATGGATTCTAGAAATTTTCTACGGTTTCTTTTTATAGATTTTAAATCAGAATTTTAAACTAAAACTTCGTATAATGATTTTATTCTTCTTTTTCAACGTCACAAATATTTTCTTTTACCGGCTACAATAAAAAAAAAAAAAAAAAAAAAAAAAAACAAAATTTATGTATTATTGTGTCTTGCCGGCCTTGGAATTTCATTAGTAGTTAAAGATGTAGAAACATCATTTGTGAATCGTTTAAAAAAAAAAACTCGTTTTAAAAAGTTTTTCTCAAATGACATTTCACAGCCGAAACCTAGAATCGGAGTCGCCATTGGTAACGAAGTACTCGACGTAAAAGCTGTTTCACATTTGTTTGAAGGACAATTGAGAGAAAAAAAACATGTCTTCTCGGAGGAGACTCTTAATTCGTTCATGGAACAAGGGAAAACGTTCTGGAAAGAAACGAGAAAAACGTTACAAATGCTTCTTTCCGCTGGAAATCCAACTTTGCAAGGAGAACTTAGAAAAAAGTATGATTTCCTTATAAAAAAAGTAACAATTTTGGTAACAATTTTGTTATGTACCATTTTTATTTTCCCTCGAACAAAATCAAAAAATGAAAATTTTTTTTTTTACTTAGAGTTTTTCATCCGCAATCGAGTGTGAAAATGCATCTTCCCGCTCATATTGGGGATTACACCGATTTTTATTCTTCTATTCATCATGCCACAAATGTTGGTATCATGTTTCGTGGTCCGGAAAATGCATTGATGCCCAACTGGTAAACATATTTCTCTGAAAAGTTAAAATCGATAGAGTTTTGATTGAAATTCATTAATAAATGTAAGAAATAAAACAGGAAGCACATACCCGTCGGTTACCACGGAAGATCCAGTTCTGTTGTCTTATCAGGAACCCCTATAAAACGACCACTTGGTCAAACGGTACCCATTGAAGGAGCCGGCCCAATATTCGGACCAAGCCGTCTCATGGATTTTGAACTTGAAGTTGCTTTTTTTGTTGGTGGTCCACCTACAAAATTGGGAGAACCAGTTTCAATAAACAATGCTGAAGATCATATATTTGGATTTGTTTTGATGAACGATTGGAGTGGTAAAGAAAATTTTTCTTTTTTGTCGATTTTTAATTGATTTTCCAATAGGTTTTAAATACTCACTTTTTATTATTAGCGAGAGATATTCAAAAATGGGAGTATGTTCCATTAGGACCTTTTCTAGCGAAAAATTTAGGAACTTCTATTTCTCCTTGGGTTGTTACTGTAGATGCATTGCAAAACTTTAAAGTTCCAAATTACGAACAAAATCCAACTCCATTACCTTATCTTCAACATTCTGATCCGTTTAATTTCAATATTAATTTAAAAGTCGATCTTAAAAGTAAGTCTGTAACTGTAAATAATGCAAATTTATAGAATTTTAAATGAAATTTTTAAGTAATACATCAAATTCTCAATAGATGAATCATCAACGACAACCATTTGTAAATCCAATTATCGCTATTTGTACTGGACTGCAAAACAGCAGCTCACTCATCATACAGTAACAGGATGTAACTTAAGACCTGGAGATTTGATGGCATCTGGTACCATAAGCGGAGAGGTTAGATCAAAATAAATTAACTTATTGAAATATTTGAAAAAATATTTTGTGTTACAATTGTTTATTACAGACGCCTGATTCCTTTGGATCCATGTTGGAACTGAGTTGGAAAGGTACCAAACCCATACAATTAGCTGATGGATCCATTCGAAAATTTCTTCAGGATAATGATGAAGTCATCATTAGTGGTATGTTTGAAATTTAATTTTTTATTACAATTTCATAAAATCTGAAATAAATATATAATAAATAACTAATCTATTTTGAAAAAATTAATTTTAGGTTATTGCCAAGGAAATGGTTATCGAGTTGGATTTGGAACATGTACAGGTAAGCTACTGCCAGCCAGAAGTGAATAAATCGATAGTGAAGTTTTCCTGATTTAAGTTTACATTCTCATTTTCCTTTTGCACTGCTTTAAAAATGAACTTTTACATTTTTGATTTAATTATGAGCACATTTAAAATTAAAATCAATAAATAATTAACAATAATTTTGATTATTTTTGTTTTTTATGCAACCTTTTATTAGAAACACATATTCTTACATATTCCTCAGAAAAGTTTAAATTACATTAACTAACCAAAATTTAACTATACTCGTAATTTATAGTAAATTATTCTTCATTTTAAAACATTTTTCCAGTATCTTTAGAAAATTAAATAACATAACAAAGAAAAATAGGTAAATGAATTTGGTTGAGAAGTTTATTGGTTATATTTGTAATTGAAAACAATGATAATTAAAAATTTAAAAGAAACAAAAAGCAGAAAGTAGAATAAATAAAAATTTATTTATTTATTTATATATAACAAATTTAATTACAATATAAATTTATTTGAAAAAAAAAATGTTAATGTAAAAGTATAAACAAAAATATTTTCGGTTAGTTAAACAAAAAAAAAATTGAAATTTCTGAACGCGCATCACGTGTTAAAAAAACACATATTCATTAATTAGCCTTGTTGTATTCGTTCGCATATTCCACTTAGATAATGGATTAAAACAAAATCCTATCGAGAAAAAAAAAAAAAAAAACAAAAAAAAACAAAAAAAAACAAAAAAAATAGTGTTAAAAATCAAATGTTTGAAAAAAAAATCAATAGCTGGATTAAATTTAATTATTTATTCATTTAAAAATTAATTATATTTAATATCGTATGAATTTGTGATAGTGTTAAAACTTAAGCGATTGCTTAAGAAACTTCAACAAGTTTAAGGTGAGTTAATAACGTTCGAAATTGTTTTTTTCTAATGTATTAATTTTAAAATCGAACAACACAATTAAACAGTTTAAAACAACGCTGGCAAATATTTTCGTTTTATGCTTTCACACATGCCAAATATCAAAACGTAATAATGTGTTTGAAATAAATTAATAATAAAATTATTATAAATTATATTAACATTCTAATTATTTTACTTAAAATTATATAGAATTTGCAATGGTGGGAAAAAAATATAAACGGTCATAAAAACAAAAACAATGTTTTTTATTTTGTTTTTACTATTTTAAATTTATTTTAAAGAATGTTTATTAATTTATGTATTTAAAAAAAAAACGTGGCAGCAGTTTACATAACTGAAAATCAAATACATATAAGTTAAATAATCAATGAAAGAGAAAATTTCATTGAGAACATAAATAAAATTTGTGAATTATATATACTTTTTCCTACTATTTAAATTAATGAAAATGACATTTAGTTAAAATATCATCATCATCATCATCATCATCATCATGAAATTTTATGTATGATAAAATGAAAATATCAAGTGATAATAATAATAATAATACTTTTTTATTTATTTGACAATAAAAAAAAGAAAGAGAAGAAATTATTTGGTGTAAAATTTTTAGAATTTGACAAAAAAAAAATTAAATTATGGAGTTTGCGCTTGAAAATGAAAGAGAGAAAGATAGAGAGAGTAAAAGGGAAAAATAGGGAAAAACTTTATCCAAAAAAACGAAAGAGTCGAACGATATAATCTGGATAAACCTCGGATTTAGTGGATTATTCCAGAGACTGTACATGCGTACTCAACATTTTAAAAATGTTGGGGCAAATGTAAACAACAACCCTCTCCGCAGTAGAATATTAACATTTGATCAAGAAACTTTTGTAAATAATTTAATTTTTTTTACATTTCTCATGTGTGTGTGTGTGTACCTGTGTGTGCCTGTGCCTGTGTCTTTTATTAATATCGTTTTCAAAATATTTATTACATTATTCATTTAACAACAACGATTTCATTTTAATTAATAATAATAATATAACTCACACATTAAATAATTAATTAATAATAATTCATAATTGAGTGGACAACAAAAATTTTGTGTTGGTGTTTTTGAAAGGGCTTATTATTATTATTATTATTATTATTATTATTATTATTATTATTATTAAATACATAAATAAATAAATACATAAAAACAATTCGAATGATAAAACAATTATTATTATTAATAATTTTTTTTTTAAAGTTTTATTATTTGTAAACAAACAAACAAACAAACAAACAAACAATAAATAAAGAAAAAATATCGTTTGTTTATTAATTAATTTAACAAACACGCTTGTTTTTGTTATTATTATTATTATTATTATTTTTTTTTTTAAATGTAATAAATAAAATTGAAAAATTGTGTTATCGGTCATGATAATAATTTCATAATAATAATTAAAATGAATAATAGGGTAAGGTTAATTAAAATTAATTTAATTTATATATATATATATATATATATATATATATATATATATATATATATATATATATATATTTTATTTTATAATAATAATAATAATAATAATGATGATGATGATGATAATGATGAAAGATTTTATTACGAATTCGATTTTTTTTTTTTTTTAAATAAAAAATTTTTTCTTTTTCGTTTTTCGTTTTCGTTTTTTTTTTAATAATTTCCTGCCGTGTAATTATTAAACTTTTTACATTATTATTATTATTATTATTATTATTATTATTATTATTATTATTATTATTATTTTTATTAGCTTCTGGCAAAAAATAAAAAATATTATATAATTCTTAATAATATTATGTTCTCTCATATTTTTAAAAGGTTTTTTTTTTATTTTATTTTCAAACTCTTTCTCTCTCTTTCTCTCTCTCTTTCGGTTTCTCTCTTTCTCTCTTTTTCTCTCTCTCTCTCCCACTAAAAGCCGGAAAAAAAAATCAATTTAAAAACAAATAATATATTTTAAAAAATGTAAAAATTTCAAAATGATCGCGTGATATTTTTATTTTATTTTTTATTTTATTTACCCCCCTCCCCCTTCCCCCCCGAGGCACACGAACAACTCACGATTATTTAAACAATTAAATAAAGACAAATTTTTATTTTAAACAAAAAAAAAAAAACAAAATCAATAACACATCCGTTAAAATATCGATAATAACGTTTCGAAAAATTTTGAAAAAATAATAACGAAATAATAAGCAGGTCTATAAAAAAACGTTTCTCTCTCTCTCTCTCTCTCTCTCTCTCTTCTCTCTCTTTCATTTCTCTCTCTCTCTCTCTCTCTCTTCTCTCTCTTTCATTTCTCTCTCTCTCTCTTTCACTTCTTTCTCTCTCTCTCTCTTCTCTCTCTTTCATTTCTCTCTCTCTCTCTCTCTCTCTCTTTCACTTCTCTCTCTCTTTTCTTCCCTTACCTTTGGTAATTTAACGTTTAATACAAAAAAAAAAAAAATAAATAAATTTAACACTTATTAAAATTATTTTTAATCGCACGTGGAAGTAGACAATTTAAAAAAAAATTTTTTTTTATTTTAAATAATAATATAATAATATTTATCATTATTATTATTATCATTATTATTATTATCATTATTATTATTATCATTATTATTATTATTATTTTCAGAAATATCAGAGCTTTGTTCCAATTTATTTAAAGAAACTTAAAATGAAAAATTCATTTAAACCTGAAGAAAATGATAACAATGCCTGTAGAACTGATAATAGCGAATCTGGAGTGGGTAAGCTTTATTATAACTTAATAATACTTTTACTTAAGTTAAATTTATTTTTTTAAATTTTCTAGTTTTTAAAAAATCCGTTTTAAATATTATTATTATTATTATTATTATTATTATTATTATTTAAATAATGCCACGTCGTTTTTTTTTTCGTTTGAGTTAGTTAATGATAATAAAACAACCATATTTGAAGTAGAATAAGAAGAAAAAAAAAGGAATTATCGTTTGTACAAAAAAATTTAATAAAATGATTGTTTGTTGTTTGTCGTTGTTGTTCAGTATAATAAATTACACGTTCGAATTTTTTAAAAAAAAAAAAAAGGGAAATGATTGTTCAGTATTATATTTGTAAATGAGATTTTTTTTTGATTTTAATCTCATTTATTGTGACAATTTTATTTAAAAAAAAAATTGAAAAGAATTATTTAAAAGATGGCATCTCTCTGTCTCTCCCTCTACGAATTTTTTTTCAAAATACGAAACCCCTCTCTATTGGGGGTGTCCTCATTATATATATATATACGTGCCTGAAATCTAGTGAAACCAGATCCTTGAAAAATGATTTAATCCTCGAAAGAGTATTACAAATAATCTTAGGGTTCATTTAAAAGCAGGCACTTTTTTTTTGCTGCTCTCTCATCATTTCAAAATATAATCTGTCTAAAACTTTAATCCTTAAATTCGGTCTTTGGTCGGATTAAATACGATTAAATCAAGATTAAACCGCAGTTATAATATTTTACAACCGTTTTTCAATGCGTTAAACATGCGAGACAGTAACAACAACAACGAAAAAAAAAGATTTAAAAATTTTTTTTTTTTTATTTTATATTTCATTTATGTACATATATATATCTATTTATTTATTTTTACGATAAAGTTCATAGGGTAAACATAAAATGCAACTTATTTAATCGTCCCTATATAAGAGGATTATCCTTATTCCACGATTGATTTATATTGTTGAGTGAATTTTTTTTTTTTTTTTTATACCGCGACCTGACAATTTGTCCACATACGCCGCCATATAGATTTTTTTTTCACGGTGGATTTTATTAATAATAATAATAATATGAAAATTCGTTTAGTTTGTGTATAGTTTTAATGCGAATCGGTGTTAATCGAAACGAGTTGTGTGTGATCGCCATTTTTAAAATATAAAAACGTAAAAAAAAAAAAAAAAAAATTGT